GTGCAGCTTGGGCGGTGATACAACAGTTTTTTTTTTTTTTTAAGATTTTATGTATTTATTCATGAGAGACCCAGAGACACAGGCGGAGGGAGAAGCAGGCTTGATGCGGGACTCGATCCCGGGACCCCGGGGTCATGCCCTGAGCTGAGGGCAGGCGCTCAGCCCCTGAGCCACCCCCCCCCCCCCCCCCCGCCGGCGTCCCTAGAGGAGATGTTAAACCAAGAGCCGACAGGCCCGATTTCAAGCCTGGGCTGTGCGACTTGCAGTGACCCACCTCCTCCCTCTGAGCCTCTGCTTGCTTATCAGTAAAAAGAAGGGACTGCAATGGGATGACGGTTGAATCCCTGCTGAGCCCCGGCCCCGGGACCCCAGGAGCTGGCCGGCTCCGCGCAGCCAGGCGGGACAACCCCGGGATGTGGATCCTGGAGCAGCGTGGGGCTCGGGTCACCCGCGTTGGCCGATTGTGCGGGTCCTCCTCAGTTTTGATTGGGCTCCTGGACGCGGCTGAACAGACGAGGTGGCCGCTGGGGCCCTGCGGCCTCTGGGAACGGCTCCTCCTCCAGCCCTGCCGGCCGCAGGCCCCGGGGGGGGGGGGGGGGGGGGGGGGGGGCTGGTGCCCGGCTCTAGGGAGAGCAGACTGAGGCCTCAGACCACTTTCCCAGCTGGAGGCGACACCGTCGTCTCCCACCCGTGACCAACGAGCTTGTGCCCGGAGGGATTTTTCTGCAATCGCCCGAGGGCTGCGAGTCAGCTCCTGATCCCCAGGGGCCGGAGAGGGCCTGGGCGGCGAGCTGTCCCCAGGCCCCGACGCAGCTCCGGTGTTACCCTGACAGTGACTGTTCCCATAGCGGCCCCGGGCCTGGGCCTCGGGAGACCCCGAAGGGGACGCGCGGCCTCCCTGAGAGCAGCAGGCCCCTGTCTCTGGGGAGGATGCTACGTGTGCAGGCAGCGCCCTTCTGGACGCGAGCCGCCCGGGCCTCAGCCCAGCCCGTGCGTCCCGCGGTCCGAGGGTCCGAGTGCCTCTCTCGGGGCCTCAGTTTCTCACCTACAAGATAAAGACGAGGGAAGCACCCACCTCAAAGGGCTGGCATGGGAATGAAACGAATTAATGTATATAAATAAATCACCCAGCGAGGTGACTGTTGGATGGTAATTACGGTTATCATCATCCTCATCACCCCCCCGCCCCGTTATTACCACCCTGGCGCTAAGCATGCTCCTGGGCGAAACATCAGAAAAGCCCCAGGAGCGTGAGTGACTCATTCTGACCCCAGGCGTGGGATTGGGGGCGCGAAGGAGGGCACATTTGAGCGAGACTTCAAAGGGGGCTGGGATTTCGACAGCGCAGCCGGAGGGGGGGCATCCCAGGCTGCCAGCGCGGGGCACGGGGGCCGAGGGGGTGGATGGAGCTGCCGGTCCCATGTGGCATCGCGGCCCACGGGGGATCTTGAACTTTGTTGTCGGTGATGAGGAGGCCTCTGCAGATCGCTCAGCAGGAGCGTGACACAGCCAGTCTGGCTTTCTAAAGAGGTCCCTCTGGCAGACGCGTAGCAGCTGGGGTGTGGACCTGGGACCCACACTGCCAGGGTTCAAATCCCGGCTGACGCTGGACTGTCTAGGTAGGTAGGTCGGGTAGCAAATAGGCCAAAACATGTACGAGGCCTCAAATGCAATAGAAGTTTGCTTCTGGATCGTAGAATATTCCCAAGGGGGTGCTTCTGGGCAAGTAGCCTCCTCCACGTGGTGACTCAGGATCTTGCCGTCCCCACGGCCTCAGGGCCTTTGGCATCTAGCTAGTGGAAGGGCAGACAGACCATGAAGGAGTCAGGCTGGATGTTTAAAAATCCTGCACTAGGGGCACCGGGGGCTCAGCGGTCGAGCATCTGCCTTGGGCCCAGGGCGTGACCCCAGGGTCCTGGGATGGAGTCCCCCGTCGCACTCCCTGCAGGGAGCCTGCTCCTCCCTCTGCCTGTGTCTCTGCCTCTCTCTCTGTGTCTCTCATGAATAAATAAAGGAAATCTACATATTTTGTAAATCCTTCTAGGGGTGAGGGATGGGGTAACTGGGTGGCGGGCATGAAGGAGGGCACGTGGTGCAATGGGCACTGGGTGTTAAATACGACGGCTGAATCACCTCTGAAATTAATAATACACCACATGTTATTTGAATCTAAATGAAATAAGACTGGAAAAGAATTTTTTTTTTTTGGAAAAGAATTTTAAAAGTAAAATTCCTGGACCTCCCCCCCCCCCCGCCCCGCCACTGCAGGACAGACCCAGAGGCCCAGGAGGGCAGGGCTGTGAGGATTCGTGACACCCAGGACCCGCTCATGCCCCGTCTGCTGGGCCTCGTCCTGCTGGTGGGTCCCAGCCCCAGCAGGGGGGACACTTCCTCCTCCGGCCTCACGGAGGCAGGGCTGACCTGCAGTGTAGGCTGAGGGCCTGCGGCCTGCCGGCTTGACACATGCGTGTGTTGCACAATCAGGAGCGTCGTGCCAGTTGCAGTGCACCACGCGGCGGGTGCCGGGCGGCCCGCGGGGGCCTGAGGGCGGCGGGGGCGGCCCAGCAGCGAGCTAGAGCGAGGCCAGACCCTGCATCAGGGAGCCTCGAAGCCAAGGTGCCTGGGTGCCGCCTGTAGGAACTCCGCTCTCCGCGGCCACGGCAGAGAGCTCCCGAACGGCTGAGGGCGGTTAGGAGGGGCCCTTGCTTTGGGGACACGGACACGTGATGGTGAAGCCTCATAAAACCCAAAGAGCCCGTGTCCCAATCCCTGCTGCCCCCGTCCGCAGCCCTGGCACCCGGGTCCTCCCGACGACCCTGCGTCCTGCTGGCGCTGGGAAGCCCGGCCCCGCCGCAGCGCCTCTGGTGTCCGTGGGGAGCCGCGCACGCACCCCGCGCCGGCCGTGGACACTGGCTGTGCACCCCTCAAGCCCCGCGGCCGTGGCGGGAGCAGCGCCGAGCAGGGCATGCAGCCGGTCATCGGTGTCCTGGGGTGCGGTCACCCGGCCACGGGCAGTCCTCTTATGAGTCGTCGGGGCACGGACGGCTTCCGAAGACGAGGCAAGTTGGGCGTGGGCCATCCCGGGGGGGACGCTGGACCGGGCCCCGGCCTGCCGCCCCTGCCCCCTCCCACCGCCAAAGCCAGAGACCGCAGACCTCGGCCCGGGGCTCCGGAGGCACCGAGGCCACCCCGCGAGATCAGACACATTTCCGCGCGGGCTACAGCTGGCCGGCCACCGGGTGAAACGGAAGTCAACTTCAAAATCTTGGTCAAAGAAATATAAATTAAAACATAAAAATAGGGCAGCCCGGGTGGCTCAGCGGTTTAGTGCCACCTTCAGCCTGGGGCGTGATCCTGGAGACCCGGGATCGAGTCCCGCGTCGGGCTCCCCGCCTGGAGCCTGCTTCTCCCTCTGCCTGTGGCTCTGCCTCTCTCTCTCCATGTCTCTCATGAATAAATAAATAAATAAAATCTTTAAAAAGAAAAAAAAGTCTTGAAGGTTGAGGGGCGCCCGGCCGGCTCCGTCGGTGGAGTGTGCAACTCCTGACCTCGGTCAGGGGTTGTGAGTTTGAGCTCCACGGCGGCCGTAGAGGTCACTAGAAAAATAAAATGTTTAAAAAAAATAGATTGAAACAAGTCTCGCAGGTCGATGACCTCTTCTGCAGCCTCCGGCGGGGGGGGGGCGGGGGGCTCACAACGTGGAGCAAAACGCCCAGAGTCTCCTCGGCACCTTGTGGCGTCTTCCCCGGGCCGCCGGCACCCCCTCCAGGCAGGGCTCCCCTACCTCTCCGTCGTAGGCGGGTCCGAGGCGGACTTGCTCTTGGGCTCCAGCATGTGTCCTCTGTGCCCTCGCCCGTCAGTGCCACCAGGACACACACGCCCACGACCCCTTGTGCAATGGTGCAGGCAAGGCCGTGACCACTGGGGCCCCGGGCTGCCCCTGCCACCCCGACAGCAACACGTGAGCCCCCTTGCACCGACGCCGTCACACCGGGTGTGGCCTTTCCTGTAGGACAAGCTCCTGGACTTGAGGTGGCTTGGGGTGCAAGACGCTATTGAGTCACGTCTGCAAGATCGTGCGCATTTAACTCCGGCCGATCATGTATCCTGCATGATGTTTCCCTGCATCCTTTACAACCTGGGGTGCTGCTCCTTTTTTCTTTAAGATTTTACTTATTTTATTTATTTATTTGCTTGAGAGACGAGAGAGCACGAGCGGCAGGGGAGGGGCGGAGGGACAGGGACGAGGAGACTCCCCGCGGAGCAGGGCGCCTGATGACACGGGGCTCCATCCCAGGCCCCCGAGCTCGTGCCCCGAGCCGAAGGCAGATATCTGCCTCACCCTCCGAGCCACCCAGGCGCCCCTATTGGCTCCTGCTTTTTAAAAATGCATCAAATAAGTAAATTCGTAAAATCTCTTTATAAAACACGGCTCCATTGTTTGCTGATTCTGTGTGTGTGACACATGTTCGTTGTAATAATAAAAAAAAAAATCGGGAAATGAAGAGAAGCGTAAGAGAAAATAAGAACCAGCTGTCGTGCCGCCACCCAAAGATCAGAAGCACTGATCCTTCTGATAGACGGCAGAGGCCCCCGCTGGCCAACAGCCACCCGATGGAACCTTCCAGAGTCCTGGGGCTGGCCACGAGGTGGCCGGGATGACCTCATGTCCCCTCTGCCCGTCCCGCGGCTGCAGACGTGTGCACTCGGGGTGCTCCCCTCGGCCGGCGGGGATCGTTCCTGGAGGAGTCCGTCCGGGTCCCCTCCGTCCAGTGTCTCCTCCAAACAGTTCTGCGGCCGGGGAGGCTGCGAGCCGACGGTCTGGGGGCGGCAGTGGAGCACGCACGTTCCAAACCGTGTTTCCAGGCTTGATAGGTGCATCAGACAGACCGGAAGACGCGTCTCTGGGGTCAGGCCCACCCGGGGCCAGCATCCTGCTCCTTGGGGCCCTGACCTGCCGTCAGGCCGCCCCGTGACCGCTGCTCTGCTTTCCCCTCCAGGGACCTGAATTATAACGAGCTGCAGGAGTTCCCCGTCGCCATCCGGACCCTGGGCAGACTGCAGGAACTGTAAGCTCCGAGCGCTGCGTGGGTGTCCCCGGCCCTCCTGTCCCCGGGGCGGGCCCAGTGGTCACACACCTGTTAGTGTGTCCCCCGCAGAAACGGCCCGGGCCGGCCTGGAGCCACGTGCTTGAGCCGCCTCCGGGCGGGGGGCCCGGGCCTGCCCCTGGCTGCTTGGGGGTGTCGGGGGTGAATGAGGACAGTAGCCAGGGCTGCTGAACGGGGTCGCGCCTCCACCTCTGATCCCGAGGGGACAGCAGGAGGTGCCTGTGGGGCCCCGCGGACACCGCCTGTGCCCTGAGCCCCAGGCTGGCTCCTCGACGCCAACGAGGAGTGGGACGGGCCCAGGCTGTCCCCGGCCGCCCTTTGGGTCCAGCCGGGCCCGGGACAGCAGCTGAGCGTTGGTCGGTAACTCCAGCCCTGGTTGCACGGCAGTAGCTAAACGGGCCCCAGGCTGACAGGCACATGGCGCAGGGTCCGCGTGAGGCCAGCAGCTCCGGCGGCGCAGGGAGGCTCTCGGAGCGGGAACGTGCGGGCAGAGGCTGGAGGCTGAGTGGGCCGGGGCGGCCGCCGGGGAGGCCAGCGGGAGGGCATCTGTGGTCGTGGGCGGGAGCCTGCGGGTTCGGGGGGCCTGGACGGCCCCTGACCGTGGGGACCCCCCTGACGGCCCCTGACCATGGGGACTGCCCCAGACTGGAGGGTGTGAACGCCCCCCCGCACCCGTGGCCATGGGGGCAGTGGAGCCATCGGAGGAGGGGCAGAGCCAGGAGGCGAGGCCAGTCCCACCGCGGTGGGCGTGCAAGGGCCGTGGGTGCACGTGACCAGGGTCCGCGGGGGGAGTGGCCTGCGGCTCCCGCTCGGCTCAGGTGGGGGAGCCAGGGATGAAGAGCCAGGATGGGCGGCGCCTGCTCGGGATTCTCAGGGGACTCTGTCTTGTCCCCTGTAGCCAACCCACCCCGACCTCTGCCCGCGGCCCGACCCTCGGCCCCCACGGCGCGACCCCTCCCGCCGCCGCCCTCGTGGCCTCGCTGGGGGCGCATCTCAGGCGCCGCCGTCCTCCCACCCCCTCAGCTTCCTCCGTGGGGCCCGGGGTCCCGACTCCCCCCCACCCGAGGCTCCTCTCCTCCCCCCTTCACGAGAGTCAGAGGGGAGGCCGGCGTGTTAGGAAAGCAGCGGCCACGTCACAGGCCGGAGGGGGACCGTCAGTCCCGGGCCATGTCTCCGGCTCAAGGCCTCCCTAGGTGCCTTCCGGAAGCTTCCTGGGGACGCGCCTCTCCCTGCACGGGCGTCTGCCCGTCCTCACTGCCTCGTGCGCTGTCTTCCAGGGGCTTCCACAACAACAACATCAAGGCCATCCCAGAGAAGGCCTTCATGGGGAACCCTCTGCTGCAGACAATGTGAGCGCCGAGCGTGTTGGGGGGCCCTGCAGGGGCTGGGGAGGCGGGAGCCCAGGAGGGGGCGCCCGGCCCGGCCTGTGGGTGAGGGGTCGGCCTGGGTCCCCGCTCCAAGGCCGAACGGTTAAATTAGGCTTTTGGGTCTTTTTCTTCTAGACACTTTTACGATAACCCGATCCAGTGCGTGGGGAGGTCAGCGTTCCAGGACCTGCCTAAACTGCACACCCTGTAAGTCGGACTCCCCGGGCCTCACCCCTCCCGCCGGCTCGCCTGCCTTCCGCAGCTCTCGCCCCTGCCGGTGCAGCCCCCACTGCAAGGCCTGCTCCTCCGGCTGCGGCCTCTGCTCAGGCCTGGCCCCAGATCCGGCTGCACTCAGCCTCCCTCCGCCGCCCCGTGGCTTCTTCCCAGACCCCAAATGAGCACAAAGGGGCCCTTCTCCAGAGCCAAGGAGCTGTCTGTGGCCTGGGGAGCTGCTCCCTAAATACTGGCTGCAGGAACCAACAACGGGGCTCGGCCCTGCTCCTCCCGGGCCCTGGAGCGTGGATCCCGCGGCCCTGGGCTGCAGCGCCCTCCCTGCTCTGGGCCCCAGGCATCCCCGTGCTCCTTCCTCCCATTCTTGTCATTCCCAGGCCGTGTCCCACCGCGGACTGCGTGCTACCTATGGCATCGCAGGAACATAACCGACACCTTAAAGCGTGGGCTTCCCTTATCACGTCCCTCGTCACCCTAACCGTGCGAGGCGGGTGGCGTCAGCGTCAGCACATCTGTGGATGGATCCCGAGGCTTGGGGCCCTGCTCTGTCCTGGATGGGACCCTGGACTCCAGGGCCGAGGCTCCTCTCTGGACCCTATGCCGCCTCCGTGTGATCTGGCAGCGCCACGTGCGCAGCTGGGCTGGCATTGGGTGCAGGGCTCTGCGGGTCCCCGGGCTCCCTACAGGGTGTGGGTGCAGGGCTCTGCAGGTCCCCGGGCTCCCTACAGGGAGGACGGGGTGGGGAAGAGCCGCTGGACTAATGCACTTGAAGAGGGCGGGGGGCGGGGGAGGTTGTGAGCTTCAGCTGATGAGGAGGTGGGGGAGACCCCAGCTCAGACTCTAATTAGCAAACCCCTGCAGCCAAGGACATTTTCCGAAGAGCCCACGCCGGAGCCTTCTAAACAGAGGCGGTTCCCATGCCCCTGCCTGTGTTTTACCTGCATTTTTTGTTTGTTCGTTTTTGTTTTATGCCGGGGCCCTGCTGCCAGTTTCAGGCCCTGTTGGGCTCTCCCAGGTCCGGTCCCAGCTCTCCGGGGACAAAGCTCCGCCCCAGGGGGCCTGGGCTGCCGGGTGTTCTGAGGACGGGAAGGATGACGCGGATCCCTGGAGGGACAATCCGCGCGGGTGGGGCGCCCGGATCCCGAGATGCTCAGGCCCCACGTCAGACGCTGTCATGCATTTCCAGGTCCCTGAACGGCGCCACCAACATCCAGGAGTTCCCCGACCTCAAAGGCACCACCAGCCTGGAGATCCTGTGAGTGGGTCCCCACCCCGCTGCCTGGGCCCTACCCCCAGGGCATCCCCCTGCCCATCCCCCGAGGGCCGCCCACATTCTCCGCTTGCCCCTATGGGCCTGCTTCCTCCGCTGCCGGCCGAGGTCCCCACGCAGCCCAGCACCCGTGGCCGCCCCGGGGGTCGCACTGCTGCAGGCACGGCCTCGGCGGCCCAGGCTTTGGGGGAGGAGGCGGGTCCTCTGTCCGCCTCGCGGGGATCCTCCAGACGCGCCGCCCGAGCTCCTCATGCCAAGCCGTGAGCGGGCCGAGGCTGTGGACGCAGGGCCAGGAGGCGTCCTTGGCCGTCGTGCGTGCGATTCCCGCAAGGACTTTGCTGCGCCCTGTTATTGCAGCAGGTGGGGAGGGGAGGGTGGGAGCGCAGCGGCCTTGAGAACCCTCGGGGGTGCGTGGAGCAGCCAAGCAGACCCCGGGCAGGAGCATGAGGGAGCACATCCGGCCCCGCATCCTGCCCTGCAAGTCCCCTGCTCCCGGAGGCCTGCTGGGGCCTGTCCTTGCCCTCCCCAGGGCGCGGGAGCAGATCCCTGCTCGGTCCCCACGGTTCGCATGGCTCCACTGGGGGGTTGGGGCGGTGTCTTCCTGCCGCCCGGCGGCCGCACCCCTGCGGTGGAGCAGAGGCCAGCCTAGTGGCCGTCCCGCTGCCCAGTGCTGCCGGGGGGCTGCTGTGAAACTGGGATGCGGGCATGGTGGCCGGGTGGGCAGGTGGCAGGGGCGCAGCGCCCCCGGGCAGTGTCCCTCTGTCCCGCCCCCCCCCCCCCCCCCCCCCGAGCTCCATGCACTCGCCGGCCTGCTCCCCTCGCCCCGCAGCCCAGCCCAGCCCTTGTGTCAGTGCAGTGCCCCCGTCAGAGCCACCCGAACCCGGGCCAGGGGGCAGGGAAGGGGCCCGGGTGGGTGCCAGCCACGTGTCCTCTCTCCGCAGGACCCTGACCCGTGCAGGCATCCGGCTGCTCCCGCCCGGGATGTGCCAGCAGCTGCCGCGGCTCCGCGTCCTGTGAGTGTCTCGCGGACGTTGTCCTGTCTTGGCATCGGGCCCTCGCTCCCGGGGGTGGCCAAGGCTTCCGTCCCACTCGGCCGCCGCTCTTCCTGGAGGGGACGAGCTGGGCCTCTGCTGAGCGCCCACCCGACAGGGCCCGGGCTGTGCTCTCTTGCCCGGGGCCAAACCACGCGGCCCTGGAGCCGGACCTGGGTCTAAGGCCCTGCTCTGCCACTGGGCCGCAGCACATGTTGGGGCGCAGCCTCCAACCTCCCGGGGCTCCCGTTCCTCATCAGCAAAATGTGGATAAAAGTGTGAGGATCGGACAAAGCGTGCGTCGGGCGCGTAGCACGTGGTGCGGCACCTGACGGGTGCTGGTGAGCGGCATCAGTCGGCGAGTGATAAGAACTCGACGTCCTCCGGGACCGGGTCCGGCGTCCAGGAGAATCGCCTGCTCCCCCGAGTCCACCGGGAGTCGCAGGCCCCCGCGCAGACCAAGGCCCGCAGCTCGGGCGGGGAGGTTGGAGACGTGGGCTGGAGACCCGGCCCCGCAGCCGGCTGGCGTCCCTGGCGGCTTCTGTCCCCTCTGTCCTCCGCGTCCTCATGGGGTGGGAGGGGCCGGGCCAGGTGATCCCTCGGGGCCCCAGCTTCACTCCAGCTCACCCAGTAAGGCCTGACGCATTCCCCGCGGGCCGCCCCAGCGCCCGTGGCCTCTGCTCTCTCACTCCTCCTCCCCAGGACCCCAGGGCCCCCCTACTGGGAAAACTCCCCCGGGGGCCTCATCTGGCCCTGCTCCCTGTGCAAGGGGACTGGGGGAAGGGAAGGGAAGACTCAGCGGCGGCAGGTGTGTCTGCAGCCACGTCCCTGCAGGTCCTCTTGGTCGTGGCTGCCCGGCAGGGAGGCACGGCCTGGTCGGAGCTGCTTCTCCTGGCCCTCACCCCCCACCCTGTCCCCCCCCCCCCCAGGGAACTGTCCCACAATCAGATCGAGGAGCTGCCCAGCCTGCACAGGTGCCAGAAGCTGGAGGAAATGTGAGTCGGGGCGTGAGGCGGGGGAGGTGAAGGCAGGCAAGCCGGGCCGGGTCCGCGGGGAGGGGTCAGCGCACACGCTCGGACGGCGCTCCCTTCCCTGAGCCCGTGGAATCCGGGGGGTTGGTGCAGGGAGCTGGGCGGAGGCCCCGACACGACTTGTAGGGACCACAGACGCCGCACCCAGGAGCTGGCGCACGGACCGTCGGGGGTGGCTCGCTCGGGGTCAGTGGCAGCGAGGGCAACGGTGACCAGGGCCGGCGGGGGCCAGGCCGGGTCAGACTAGGGGGTCGGGGGTCCACACCCCCTTCAACACCTGCACGCTCGTACCCGGGAGGACGACCTACGGCTCAAATCTGACGAGGCAAAAGCCACTTTGAAAATGCTCTAAGCTCTTTTCACCCAGCTTCTGTTTGTGCCAACGGGCTGGGTCCCCTGGGCTCAGGGTCTGTCCCCTGGGCCCAGGCAGGATAGGGGCGGGCGGGCCTGTCCCGTCCATCAAGGTGCCAAGGGAAGGAGGCTCTTCGGCGCTGTGGGGCCCGGGCTCCGTCCCTTTCCGAGGGGCCAAGCCCCGAGCTGTGCCCCCAGCTGGGCCAGCGAGGGGTCACCCAGGGGCGGAGCGGCGCTCTGCTGCTGGCCTGAGGTCGGGAGGCCCCGGGGCGAGGTTGGCTGGGCTGGGAGCCAGCCCGGTGGGAACCCTGGAAACCGACTCCCTTTCGGGCCACAGGGATGGTTTTGTGGCTTTGTCTCCTGACCCACTTACCCGCGGCAACCGGATCCCCTCGTGCTCCCTTTAATTCTGGAGACTTCCGCGGGCCGGGCCCTTTCTTCCCGCGCCAGGAGAGGGGGGCTCCGCTTGCCTCCTCCCGGTGCGGGGGGCGTGGACCGGAGCCGGGGTCCGAGCCTGCGGGCTCATGTGGCCTCTCTCGCTGCCCCAGCGGCCTGCAGCACAACCGCATCGGGGCGATCGGAGCCGACACCTTCAGCCAGCTGAGCTCCCTGCGAGCCCTGTGAGTACCCGCAGCCACGCGGGTGGCCATCCCCGCAGCCCGGGCCTCAATGCGCTCTGACCCCCGCCCCCGCGCACACCCAGGAGGGAGCCTCCCCGTCCAGCGGCTTCCCAGCCCCTTTCCCTGTGGCCACAGCCCGGTTGGGAGCCAGGCGGCAGGTGGCTCCCCCGAGGGGCTGGAGGTCCCGCCCCTGGGGCAGCTCAGATGGGGAGCAGGTGGAGGAGAAGCCGGGATGGGCACAGCGAGCCCCCCCCACCGCGCTGGCCGCACCCGTGATGCCCTCCCTGCCCACAGGGACCTGAGCTGGAACGCCATCCGCTCCATCCACCCCGAGGCCTTCGTGACCCTGCGCTCCCTCGTCAAGCTGTGAGTGCTCCCTGCAGCCTCCCCCGGGTGATGCATCCCAGTGAGGACCGCGCGGCCGTGGGCGGGACGGGGACACGCGGCACTGACCGCACATCCCGGGAGGCGGCCTCCCCCCTAATCAGTCATTCTGACGGTCGGCTTGACGGCCCGTGGGCCCTGGTAAACAGAGGGCCTGGCTTCTGTATCATCTGCTCGTGTCGTGTGACACCGAGGTGGCCTCGACCCTCCCGGGGCCCCGGTCTCGGGCCCTCCTGCAGCGGCCACACGTGCCGACAGGATGGCCGGGCCCAGAGCTCCTCCACACCCTGGGACGGGGCAGCAGGTGTGGGAGCCCGGGCCTCAGCCCAGCAGCCCCCTGCGTGAGCACCACCCCCGAGGGCTGCCGTCGTGCGGGTGGCAGGGGTCGCAGGGCCCCCGCCTTACACGGGAGGCTCACGGGGAGCGTGCGGCGCTGGCAGGGGCCTGTGGTGCGGGTTGTGTACTGCACAAGGGCTCCCGTGTGAGGGGGAGCCCACTGCCTGCCTGCACGTCCTGGAGGCGCATCCACCTCATAGGACGCCTTTATGAGTGACCCCCAGACTCCCTCGGGGCCAGGTCCAGCCCTGGCCTCGGGGGTCACGCAGCCCAGCCCCTCACCTCCCCAGGGAGGCCTCCAGGCCGGCAGCAGGGCCAGGACCCGCCTCTCCGGTGCTCACAGCCTGCCTCCCTGGGCGCAGGGCCGGGCCTCGCAACCTCGCACCTCGGTCTTCCCGCTCCTGTTTGCTCTGCTCCTGCCAGATACGTAGGGTGGATATTTTTATCCCTTTGAAGGATGAGGACATTGAAACTCAGGCCAACGTGTGACTCCCGTTGGGCACAGAGGGAGGCGGGGACAGCGCCAGGTTTCCTGCCTTCCAGTCCAGGCCCTTCCACGACACGCAGTCCGTGGTCCTGGGGTCTGCTCTGGGGTCCCACGTCCCCGAAACGGCTCCGTGCATGTCCCCCTCCCTGGACTGCGGAACCAGAGAGCAGCTCTGTCCAGCCCCCGATCCTGGCCCATCGTGTGGGCGGGACAGCAGGTGCCCCCAGCGGGCACCCAGGGGCCCTCGGAGGGGGCTGCGGTCGGGGGGCCTGTTGCTAACCACTGGGACGGCTCGGTGTGACTTTGGAGCCGTCCCTGTGCATCGTCGGCCCGCGGCGTCTGGGGCGTGAGCCCGTGAGCAGCGGTGCGGGGTGGGTGACGGCTGGTCCGGCCACCGTGCCCGCCCTCCGGCCCTGGCACAGACGCGCCCGCCTCCCTGCTCCTGTCCTGTCCCGGCTCGGGTCTCCTGGGCCCTGCGCAGGCCAGTACCGCCGACCGCCTCTGTCCTAGGGACCTGACCGACAACCAGCTGAGCACCCTGCCGCTGGCCGGACTCGGGGGCCTGATGCACCTGAAGCTCCGAGGGAACCTGGCCCTGTCCCAGGCCTTCTCCAAGGACAGCTTCCCAAAGCTGAGGTGAGGCCCCCGGCCCTGGGCGGGTTGCCCCGGAGCCGCGGCAGAGGCCGTGGGGGCAGAGGGAAAACCGGAGGGCCCAGAGCCTGCGGGTCCGGCCGCTGCTGAGTGGGACGGGCCTGTGCCCCCGCCCGCCCCAGCGGGTTCAGAGCGTGTCTTTCTGTCCCAAGCACCGGCCCGAGGGGACGCCGAGAGCCCCAGGACCTCCCTGCTCCCTGCTGTCCCCAGGGCAGCATCTGGGCCCCGTGGTCACAGCCAGGCCCAGGGCGCCGACGGGTGGGGGCGAGCTGCCCAGCAGCCCCCGTGCCAGTGACACGCAGGCCGTCAGCCCGTGCGGCCCGAGCCTCCCGCCGCCGCCGACCAGATGCCCGGAGGCACTGCTCCAGCCCTCGCAGGGCCCCTGTCTCCTTGGACAGGAAGGAAGGGCGGCCGGCTGGGCGGGAGCAGAGCGGGGGGGCCGTGCGGGCTTGGGGGGCTGCTCGCCGCTCGGAGCCTCCCGAGGGGACTCCAGCAACGGTGGAAAGTTCATCGTCCCATTTCCTTCTCAGACGAGTGAGGGAAAGACGGGCGGACGCTCGGCCCCGCAGAGGCTGTGAGGCCGGCACGCAGGAAGCCGACCGCCGCACCGTCCTGGGACGCAGTGGGGTCCAGGGCCCGGCGCCCTAAGCACTCCTAAGGCAGCCCCTCCGCCCCCAGGATCCTGGAGGTGCCCTACGCCTACCAGTGCTGCGCCTACGGCGTCTGTGGCGGCTTCTTCAAGTCCTCGGGGCAGTGGGGGGCTGAGGACCTCCACCCTGCTGAGGACGAAGCCCCGAAGAGGCCCCCAGGCCTGCTGGCCGGCCAGGCTGAGAACCACTGTGAGTGCGGGGCCTGGGCAGGCGGCTGGGGGCTGCGGCAGCTTAGGGGAGGCTCGGGGCGGAGAGGGGTCGTGGCAGGGGCTGCGGGGGGAGACCCCAAGTGCCTGGGAGGTGAGCCCTGCTGGCACCGCGGCCAGGGACGCCGCCCAGAGGTGCTTGGGGAGGAGCGGACGGGGCGACGGGGACAGCAGTGACGCTTCCACACCCGCCGCGCCCTCTGCAGCGCACAGGGTGCCTCCCGGCCCCGACTCCGCCGTCCTTGCGACCCGCGCGTTCCCTCTCCACGCGGGCCCTTCGAGGGCAGGCCGCTCTCGGGAAGGACATCCACGTCCTGGTCACCCTGAGCCAAGCGGGGCTGAATCAAGTCAATTAAGTGAAACCTGCTTAAAAGAAAAAAAAAAAAGGCCCCTCAGTGTACGTCCTAGAGCCAAACGGGATCACGAGCGTCGCAGCCGTCCTGCCTCGCGGAGGCCACCAGGGCCGAGGGGACCCCGCAGGGACGGGCCCCAGGGTCTGTTCCTGGAACCGCTGGGGTAAAAGGAAGGAGGGTGCAGGCGGGCAGCCGAGGGGACTCGGGGATCGTCACCGGCCGGTGTTTGGACAAAGGGCCGAGGGGAGCGCTTCCAGCCCCTCAGCTGCACGCCTGTGGCGGAGCCGACGTAGACTCAGGAGGAAGCAACGTGGGGCCCCACGTGGGGTATTGGGCGTGTTTTCCAGTCTCTGACCCCCTCCGTGTGGACGGTATGTCCATGGAGAAGCTGAACAGAAAAATCAAAACATAAGAAAAGCACCTTGTGGCGGTGTAGACGGACTTGGGGCCTAACCCCAACTGCACCGTTTACGGGTTGAGCTGCCTCGGCCACGCTGACCCCCTTAGAGCCTCGTTCCTTGTGTTTGGTCTGTGGATGAGAAGCGCAGGCACCTGGGGCCTGGAGGACGCAGCAGGTGCACCGCCGTGGGAGCCGGGCGCCTCCCGGCCTGGACGGGAGGGGGGGGGCGTCGTCTGGACACGGCTCGCCCGCGGGGTGGGGGTGTCCAGGTGTCCCTCCCCGGGGAGGGTGTGAGGCCGCAGCAGCAGCCTCCCGGGCGGCCGTCCCCAGGGAGGTCCCGGAGTCGGCCGGCTGCACTCCCTCGGGGCTGCAAGGAGCCCCGGAAACTTTCCTCAGGCTCAGGCCTTGCAGGGCCCCAGGGCGTCGGGTCATGGGTGCCTGCACCCCTCCAGGAGCTGGGCCGGGCCCCCCACTTCCTGCGGGGCTCATTCGCCTGGAGGAGGAAGGCCAGGTGCTTCGCTGCAGCCGGACCCGATTTCCTCCCCGCTTGAAGACTGGTTATTTAACACCGTGGCCGTGACCCTCCAGCTTAGACGTGGTCCGCGGGCTGCCCCCTCCGCTGATTCCTGCTTCTGCCTTCAAGGACTCGCGGGCTCCGTGCGGGGGAGCAGGGCCGGGCAGGGAGCACGGTGGGCGCGGAGGCCAGGCCGGGCCGCGGGCGTCACCCCGCAGAGCCTTCCCGCCCCCCGGGACAGCACCCAACCGAACGTGTTCACCCTTTGGGGACGAAACAAGCCACACGAGCCAAAGACGGGGACAGGCGTGACGCCGAGTGACCGCTCCGTTACTTGTGCGACAGAGGACGAGGCCGCGGGGCCCGGTCCCTGAAACCCACGCCCTGGACAGGTGTCCCTCAGCCAAACCGCTGAGCCATGCAGGGATCCCAAAAATCTCATTTGATTCAAACAAGTCACAGGGTTTCTTTGACGACACGTTGGTCTTTCTCGCCCTTTCCTCGGGCGACGGGAGCTGCAGGGGCCAGACTTGGAATGGGAGGGATCGGAGAGGACGACCCCGTCATGGCCCTTTCTCACGTCAGGGCCTCTCTGCTCCGGTACCTCGGGTGGCAAGTCACCCGCAGCTCACGCAGCCGCAGAGCCGCCCCGCCGCCCCCTCCAGGCGCCTTCCCCCCTCCCCAAGATCGGCCCCTCACCCGGGAAGGCCTGACGGCTACATATCCGGGCTCTGGAGTCAGACAAACTGGTCAAGTTCTGCCCTGTCATACTCCGGCTGGAGACCTCGGGCGAGCCACTTAACATCCGCGAGCCTCAGTTTCCTCATCTGCCCAACGGGTCCAGGCCTGCTTCGTGCACTGCCGGGAGGTTACTGAGACCATGAGGACGAGGATTCGCCGGCCTGGTGCGGCCCAGAGCCAGGCCAGTTACATCCGCGTGGCCGCTGACGGTGCACCCGACGGTGGACGCCTCCGTCCTCTTCCATCCGCGTGGGCTCCCCGCGAGCAGGACCACGTGTTGCCGCCCGCAGGTCGTCTGCACTTGCCCGAGGCCCCGCGGACGGGCGCTGCTGCAGCCCACGGGCCCTCGGCCCACCTCTCGTGCGTCGGCACAGCAGGTGCAGCGCAAGCCCTTGGCCCGAGTCAGTCCCCCGGGGCCTTTGACGGTTCAGGCAGCGGGCTCCAGCGCCACGGTCCCTGTTCACGTCCTCTGAACACAGTCCGGCTCCCTGCTCCGTCACAGAGGGGCCCTTCCTGGGGAGCCGGGCGGCTCCGTCTGCTGCCATCACTCTCTTGATTTTGGCTCAGGTGGTCGTGTCAGGGTCACAGGGTCGAGCCCCGCATCAGGCTCCACACTGGGCGCGGAGCCTGCCTGAGGTTCTCTCCCTCTGCCCCTCAACCCCAGCTCGTGCTCGCTCGCTCGCTCGCTCTCTAAAAAGCAAAAAGATGTCCTTCCCAGCTCATGGTGTTCGCAGCCGCACCCGGAACGACAGCGGGGGACCGGGGGCTCCTGGGGAGGCAGCCCTGCCCCGCGTCTGAGCCGCCCGGCGGACGAGGCTGGGGGTGGTGGGGGGACGCGACAGGCTGACTCAGAGCTCGAGGCGGCCAGCCTCCCACGCGGCGTTTGCTGGGAAGAGCAGCCCGGCAGATAGTGGCGAGTGGGCCCGGAGCTGCACGGTCGCTCCCGAGAGTGGAGCAGACGAGCGGCCGCGGGGACGGCCTGCGGGGAGCGGCGTGCGTTGGGGTGACCGCTTGAACGGCCGGCCCTTTGGACAGACGCGGAGCTGGACGGTCCCCAGCCTGCGGCCCCCCAGCCCCCCGGCCTCCCGGCCCCCAAGCCACTTTGCCGTCTTGCCTCTCAGATGACCTGGATCTGGACGAGCTGCAGCTGGACACGGAGGACACCCGGCCGCGCCCCAGCGTGCAGTGCAGCCCTGCTCCAGGTGAGACGGGCGCGGGGGGCAGGCGGTGGGGGGGGACGGGGAAGGCACAGCCAGCTACCTCCGCGAGGTGCCAGGCCAGCCCCCCACGGCCGTGACCATGGTTCAGGCACCGTCGCTGCCTAAGCGCCCACATCCCGTGGGCCACGCAGGCTCCTCTGGTGGTTCCTGGGGAGGGAGCTGCAGGTCTGCCCTTGGTGGCGGGTGCTGCGGGGTGCGGGGTGCGGGGTGTGGGGGAGCCAAGCAGCCTGCCCAGAGGAGCCTGGAGAAGGAGACGTTGGAGAAAGCGCCTCCCAGTGGAGGGAGCCCCAGGAAGGTGCTGTCGGTGGGTGCGCAGGGCGGCGGCTGGGGCGCTCCCTCAGGTGGCCTCACAGAGCCCTCGGGCCCTGCCGCGCAGAGAGGCCACGGCCTCCCGCCTGGACTCCCCAGGGTCAAACCCCGGGACAGTACCAGGCCCGTCCAGCCCTCGGGGGTGGGGGGGAAGCGGCCTGGAGTCCAGCCTGAGGCCACCTCGCTGTGAGGGAAGGACGAGAATCCCCTTCCCTGTGATGCAGGGCGGCCAGCTGCTGAGCCAGGAAGCCGCTCGGCATTGACAGTGCTGGCAGGGCGCCTGGGGGCGCAGGGCCGGACGGGGGTGGGGTGGGGGGGTGCCTCCCGGGATCAAGGCCGTGTTGGGGTCCCTGCAGGGAGCCTGCCTCTCCCTCAGCCCCTGTCTCAGCCTCTCTGGGTCTCTCATGAGTAGATAAATAAAATCCTAAAAAAAAAAAGAATACAATAAAGTGCTAGCCGCCCCCCCCCCCGCCCGCCCCAGGCTGTAGTGCGTTGCTTAAGCCAGGAAGGAGCTGTTGGGGGAACAGAAAGCGGGGCACAGTGTGCTTCCCCGCGATGGGGAGCGTGTGTGCCTGCGTGTGCCCCGCCTGCTGCCTCCCCTCTGGTTCCAGTGCCCTCCCCGACCCCACCCCCCGCGCCCTCCCAATGATCCCCCTACCCTCCCCATTGAACCCCCCTCCCCGACCCCCCATCCCACCCTCCCCATCAAACCCCCTCCCCACGACCCCTTCTCCCCCCAACGAGCGTTGGCGGCGCACCTCCTGGTGCCAGCGCAGAGCAAGGGCAGGGGGGCCTCGCAGAAGCAGGTGGGTCCCCTTCTCCCGTGGAAGCCCACCCGCCTCGGCGGCCGCAGGACCTCACACGGCGAACCAAAGACCAGGACGAGGGAACGAGGAGGCTCCCTCCCGAAGGCGAAGTCCGCTCGCTCTCGCTTCGGAAGCGGGTCGTCCGGACGGTCCGACAAGTGACGGGACATCCCTGTGGACCAGCTCCCAGCAGGCAGCCACGGAAAACGTGCCCTGCAGGAAGATGAAGATTCGGGGAAGTGCGCACGATGAAATTTTTCGACTTGAAAAGCGGGAGTTAAAAACTATGTGTGGAAAATCCCGATTCAGTTTAACAACTATATATATATATTTTTTTTTTTATTTTTTTATTTTTTTATTTTATTTTTTTTTTAAGATTTATATATTTTTTTAAATGGAGACACTAAAATGAGTTCTTTGAGAGAGGCGGGATGATAAGCAGTTTTAATTTTTCCATGTTGTATTTTCCAAACTTCTACAACGTATTTTCAAACTTTTTCCATCGAGAAAATACGTTTAAAAACTAATTCCTGGGACGCCCGGGGGGGCTCACCGGTTGAGCGTCTGCCTCCAGCCCAGGGCGTGGCCCCGGGGTCCTGGGATCGAGTCCCACGTCGGGCTCCCGGTGCATGGAGCCTGCTTCTCCCTCTGCCTGGGTCTCTGCCTCTCTCTCTCTCTGTGTCTCTCATGAATAAATAAATGAAACCTTAACAACAAAAAGAAGCAGTTCCCACAAAAGCCTCTCAAGTTCCCAAGCTACTGGAAATACATTGCAGGACAGGAGTCCGAAGCCAAAGGAAATGAAGACATCATGCGTCCAAAGTCACCGGGTGATTTGAGGACAGAACCTGGAGGGGGGAGACAGAAAACAGCACGATCTCACCCATTTGTGCAAAACCAGGTTGGAAAAACCCAGAGTCGGCTGCATTTTAATGCACTCACTGTGCTTTTCTTCCCAAATAGTGAGGGCGGCCGGTCCCGTCCCGGGGCAGGGGCGGCCCGGCCCGACGCCGCGTGGCCAGGCTCGCCCACGGGGGTCCTTCGTGGCTCGCTGGGCACGGGCTGGGCTGGGCCCCCCGCAGCCACTCGTGCCTCCCGCCAGCCGCGCCCGCTCCGATGCCCCCTCCTGACCTCTAACGGCTTCGGCCTCGGAGAGGGCGCCTTGCTGAGCGCGTGCCCGCCCTGGCTTCGTGTGCTGCCCACTCGCACTTTGCGTACAGATGGGCCGACCGCGTGTTTCCGTTTGCCCCTCGGAAGAGCTGGGGTGCCCCCGCTCCCCCCGCCCACCTGGGAGTTCCCAGGGGCCAGGTCAGCCTCCGTCAGCCGGGGCTCCCTGAGGACGCGGGCCGTGTCCCCGCGCCCCAGGGCCCCGTGTCACGCAGCCTGCCGGAGGGTAACGTCCGATCGTGTCTCCCGCAGGCCCCTTCAAGCCGTGCGAGCACCTCTTCGAGAGCTGGGGCGTCCGGCTGGCCGTGTGGGCCATCGTGCTGCTGTCCGTGCTGTGCAACGGGCTGCTGCTGCTGAGCGTGTTCGCGGGCGGCCCGGGCCCCCTGCCCCCGGTCAAGTTTGTCGTCGGGGCGATCGCCGGAGCCAACGCCGTGAGCGGCCTCTCCTGCGGCCTCCTGGCCTGCGTCGACGCCCTGACCTTCGGCCAGTTCGCCCAGTACGGAGCGCGCTGGGAGACGGGGCTGGGCTGCCGGGCCACGGGCTTCCTGGCGGTGCTGGGGTCCGAGGCCTCGGTGCTGCTGCTCACCCTGGCCGCCGTGCAGTGCAGCGTGGCCGTGTCGTGCGTCCGGGCCTACGGGAAGGCGCCCGCCCTGAGCAGCGTCCGTGCGGGGGCCCTGGGCTGCCTGCTGCTGGCCGGGCTGGCGGCCGCCCTGCCCCTCGCGTCCGTGGGCGAGTACGGGGCGTCCCCGCTGTGCCTGCCCTACGCGCCCCCCGAGGGCCGGCCGGCCGCCCTGGGCTTCGCCGTGGCGCTGGTGATGATGAACTGCCTGTGCTTCCTGCTGGTGGCTGCTGCCTACATCAAGCTCTACTGCGACCTGCCGCGGGCCGACCTGGAGGCCGTGTGGGACTGCGCCATGGTGCGCCACGTGGCCTGGCTCATCTTTGCCGACGGGCTCCTCTACTGCCCTGTGGCCTTCCTCAGCTTCGCCTCCATGCTGGGCCTCTTCCCCGTCACCCCCGAGGCCGTCAAGTCCGTGCTCCTGGTGGTCCTGCCCCTGCCTGCCTGCCTCAACCCCCTGCTGTACCTGCTGTTCAACCCCCACTTCCGGGACGACCTGCGGCGGCTCTGGCCCTGCGCGGGGACCCCGGGGCCCCTTGCCTATGCTGCCGCCAGCGAGCTGGAGAAGAGCTCCTGCGACTCCACCCAGGCCCTGGTGGCCTTCTCTGATGTGGATCTCATTCTGGACGCTTCCGAGGCTGGGCGCCCCCCCGGCCTGGAGCCCTACGGCTTCCCGTCAGTGACCCTCCTCTCCGGTCAGCAGCCGGGGGGCCCCCGGTCGGAGGGCAGCCACTTTGCGGAGCCCGAGGGAGCCCACTTTGGGAGCCCACCAGCCGCCGTGGAGGGAGAACTGCGGCTCTGGGCCGAGGGAGCCGCGCCCGCGGGTGGGGGCTCGTCAGCGGGCAGGGCCTTGCAGCCCGCGGGCCCAGCCTTTGCCTCACACTTATAGATGTCCGTCCTGGCTCCTCGCCCCTCTCCCCTCTCCCGTCCTCCCGGCCGTGAGTGACGGCTGCTTGTGTGATAAACTCACCGGACGTGTGATCCGCAGCGGGACGGCCCAGCGCCCGAGCCGCGGCTGCAGCGGTCTCCTCTGTGCGTGGCCGCGGCCGGCGTGTGCCTCCTGGCCTGGCTTCCCGTGGCCTCCCCTGGCCGCCGTCCCTGCCCTGCCCGAGGCCGTGGGCCGGAGATCTCAAATCTGTCTTCTTGAGGGAAACGAGGAAAGCACAAAACAGTGTAGGGGGGTGGTGGTGCCGAGCGGGTCAGGCGTCGGGGGGCAACGGGCAGGGGCACCCCTCGGAGAGAGACCTGTAGGTGACCTGCCGGGGCACTTGGGCATCTGCCCTTTGACTCGCGGACAGACCGCGCTCGGCGTCCTGTTAATCTCGAGCCGGGCCGCGCAACAGGACGTGGCCGAGTCAGCCGGGAAGCTCCGACGCGTTCCGTCCCCCTCTTAGCCGTTCGCGGGGCACGTTAGCAGAGCAGAGCCCGCGGGGAGTCCGGCAGCCGCGCAGGCCGTCGAACGTTGTTTAATCCACCGCCCCGGATTATTTGACAGCAGCTTTCGGTTTGTCTGGTTGGTTTTCATGGGGCATCTGCCGGGGCCTCCCAGAGTCAACGGCGCTCTGTCGGGGCGCCCTCGCGGCCCTGGTCGGGCCACCGCCTGCTGCTACGGGGACATCTCAAGCTGCCGCCCTTCCTGGAAACCCTGATGCGGGCGGTTCCACCGGGGACTTGAGGATCCCGTCCGGGACTTGAGGATCCCGTCCACCGGAGGAGACTGCACGCCCTACCCTCCGGGTCCTCCGGGTCTCCCCGGGAAGGGAGGTCTCCTGCCCTCGCTGGAGAGGGCGTCCCTGGGCCCGGCGGGGGACGCACCGGGAAGCCCATGGCAGCCGGGCTTCCTGGCTCCACCGCGTGCCCGTCGCTCGCTCCCGCCACGGCCTGGCCCCTGCTCTGCACCCCGGGCCCGCCGCCTCGTGGGGCAGTGGCACAGGAGCCTCGGCCAGCAGCCTCGGGGTATCTGCGTTGCACGTACTGCTTTGTAGGAAGTGTCACAGGGCCACGGGCGCCCGGGCGCCCCGGAGAAGCACGACCTCCTGCCCTACGGTTTACAAGTGCCTCCAGGTGGCCCGGTGCTCGCACCCCAGACACTCACGCCCTCCGTGCCAGGGCGAGGGGGGACAGCCGGGACATTCTCAAAGACACGAGAAGGGAACCCAAGGCTCAGGAAAGGGGCCCAGCCATTAAGACAACTGAGAAGGTCCTTGCGTCTGCCCTGAGCATCTTCCCCCCCACCCCTGCCCCCCCCCCCCAGTCCCTGCTCTCTCAGGGCCCAGGGGAAATCCTGACACGAGTCCAAGGGCCGCCTGCTGCTTCGGCGGAGGCAGAGGGTGGGTGGCGCTTGCCCATTTCTCTGTCTGACCGCGGAGCCGCCCGGACGCTTCCCGCTCCGAGGCAAAGGTGCTGAGCTTGACCTCAGGGTCCTGGCCCAGGGACTGTGCACCCGCTGGATGCGGGGAGCTCCCTGTTTCATGGAAGACGAGGCTGCTCTGCTTTGGGAACCGGGAGCCGGTGACTGTCATGAGGAAAGTTCTCCGAGGTGCCCTAGGGATGACAGCGTTGGTGTGATTTGGGGGATCGCAGGTCACCCAGGCTCCTCCGCACGGCCTCCCGCCGCCCCATGGGATCATTTCCCCCCGGAGTCGGAGCCAGTGTTGCGTGGGATGTGGAGCGAGGTTCAGGAGTCGTGGGAACAGCCCCCCGCAGGTGGCCTCTGGTGTGCAAAGGGCGCCGGTCTGTTGGCTGCAAGCTCTGGGGTGGCACCACCGTCCCCATCATTTACTTCTAAAGATCCAGGCGTTTGCCAAGCCTGCCCCTCGCGGGGCGGAGCGGGGGCGTGGGGGCACTGGCGGCGTTTGCCGTGACCTGGTTTCATGATTCGGGAAGCCTCGTCCATGTGGCACATTCACCCGAAAGCAGGTGGCGAAGTAGTTTCCGTGTTCCTAGGGACACACGGCTTCCTAGCGAGGCCGTGTGTCCCTCTTCGGTCATCCCCGGTCATCCCTAGAGGACGTGCAGGTTTTTTCATGTGCCTTTGACGACACACAAAGTCAGACGCCAAATAATCCAGCGCACGTGAAACCTTCCAGAACGGTGTCCGCGGGTGGAGTCCACGCGAAGGGCCGTGGCGGTGGCGATGCTGGAACCGCTGTGCCCTGCCCGCCAGGGTGTCCTCGCAGACCGACGTGCAGAGGAGAACCTTCTGGACCGGGCCGCGCCCTTGACAGCACCTCTGAGCACATCAGGAGCAAAACTTAATCCAGGGTTGAGACTTGAAGACCATGGACTAACCGTCCCCTGGCCTCCCTCTCCCCGTTTCCTGCTCCCCAACCCCCTTCCGACGCTCCTTTTCCGGGAAGACTGCGAGGTCTAAGGACGGCGGGAGGCGGAGGAGGGAGAGTTGCGGGCGGCAGGGGCCTGAGTACTGAGGGTGGCGGGAGCCGCTAGGGCCCGTGGTCCCCCCTGCACCACCTCCTCCAGGGCCTCTGCCCCGGAGCGAGCTGCCCGCCCGCCCTGCGGCCCCGTCCCTCGGGCCGGCCCAGGCCGTCCGCAGCTGTGTGAAGAGTGAGACGCGTCCAGATGTAAATGTTTGGAGTCTTCTGTATAATAAAGCGCCAGCGACGTATCACGTGCGTCCCTCAGCTCTTTTCCGCGGCCACCCGGGAGCTCTGCGGGGCGCCCGGGACGGCGGCGGGGCCGGGGTCAGTGAGCCCCGAGCGCACCGGCAGTGGACTGTCTCCGTGGGCCGCCCGCGCCTGCCACCGTCGGCGGGGCTCCTCACCCCCGTGATGCAGGAGGCTCCCTCGGAGTCTGGTGTGTGAGTACGTGGTACAGTCGCACGGTTCCAACAAAGTGTATCTGCTCCACAGTCCCCGCCGGCCGCTTCAGCCCTCACTGGTCACCAGTTAGACGTTTCTTACGCGTCCGCCCAGAGTTGCTTCCTGCACACGCCGGTGCGTGTGTCCTCGCTCCGCTCCGGCCGGGTCGCCAGCCACATGCCCCCCCGCCGTGGAAATGTGGTTTGCTTGATCTTTTGCTTCTACAAACACTGCGACAAGTAACGGGGGAGGCACGTCATTTACACACGTGCGTCTGTAAGACGCATTACCAGACGTGCCACCGCTGGGTCGAAAGAGAGTTCTAGATCGTGTTCCTTAAGTAGTGGAGCCAGACGTGTGGGCGCCGCGGTGCGCTGGGTGGGCGCACTGGGACTCCAGGGCATCTGGGCCTCGGGGCCACAGGGACGGGTGTGTGGGGCCTCGGGGGTGCTGGGACTGGGGGTCTCGGGGGCACAGGGGGGACAGGTGTGTATGGGGCCTCAGGGGCACAGGGACGGGTGTGCGGGGCCTTGGGGGCGCAGGGACTGGGGGCCTCGGGGGTGCAGGGTGGGGGACAGGTGTGCACGGGCCTCAGGGACACAGGGCCTGGGGGGCTCAGGGGCGTGCCTGTGGGCAGCACTGGGGCTGCGCGGCCTGGGAGCCACGTGAATCCACCCCGCTCGGCCTCCGGGGCGCCTACCCCGCTGCACTCCCTGCAGCCCCGCCACGTGGGCCTGGACGCTGCCCTGGGCCGCCCTGGGCCCTCCCTGACCGCGTGGTGGCCGTGGAAGGCAGCGGCCCTTGCAGGAGGGCAGGCTCCAGGCGCCAGGAGGAGACCCGGAGGCGGGACGGGAGCCCTGTGCCCGGGGGGCGTCGGGGGCATCACTGCCCCGTAGAGGCGCTGACGTTAACAACAGCGACAACGGCGTCCAGGGTAATAGCATCTTCCCCGACGTCACCGCTTCCTCCGGCTCGCGGCTGTGCCCGCGGCCCGGACCCGGGGCTCCTCAGGCCCCTGCGCACCCTCGGCTTCCTTGGCCCCGGAGCCGCGCCGCCCTCCCTCCACGAGGTGGCACCCAGGCCGGCTCCCGCGTGGGCCCGGGGCGCAGGTGTGGGCGGTCCTCCGATGGGGCCGCGGACAGCGTGGTCGTCGCAGCTGGCCTCCCCTGGCAGTGGACGGCTCGCGGGCAGGCCCCGTGGGACCCCAGCCTGTTGGATGCACCCACCGTCGTGGGGTCAGCCCTTCCCACAGGGTCTCGCACAGAAGGTGCTCAGTTAACCTGGGGGGGGGTCACAAAGGTAACATATCAGGTGGGGGGGGGAGAATGGAAAGGGCAGGTGACAAGGTAGCTGAGGCCACCTCACCTGTGTCATCACGAAGCCTGACACCAGCGGGCTGTGTCCTTGGATCCCACAGGTAGAGAAGCGCAGGACGGCCAGATACCAGCACCTGGAGACACGTGAGGCCAGGTAAGCTCCCTCCTATTTTGTAGAGGAGGAAACCGAAGGAGAGGAGCTGCCCATTGGCCCGCAGCTACTCCCGGGGAACCGAGGAGTCAGAGGCTTCAATACTGGAGCAGCGTCCATACGGTCATGGGCGATCCGTGGAGGGAAGCCTGGACTTTCCCCCCGAAGGGGCCACTTCACCACCTGACCCTGTTGGGGCGAGTGCCCCAGACACAGCGCCCAGGTCGGCAGAGAGCCTAGCAGATGAGTCGGAACTTAGGGCCACCACCACCACCAGCACCTCCTCCCGTCCCCAAGAGGAAGTTGCCTCTGATGGGAGGTTTGGGAGAAGGATCCGTCGGCAGGGCCTCTCCTGAGGCCGGGTGGCAAGGTCCTGGTTAAAGGATGCAGACCGTGGGAGGAACGGGCTGTAGTCCAGTGAGGCTGCGGGGTCAGGGGGAAGGGCAGGCACGTGACGGGGAGAAGCCCGGAGCAGGGCCGGGAGGGACACTGGACAGCCTGTGATCCTCGACGGGGACTGAGAGCTGGAGCCAGGGATGGGCACTCGGTGGGGCCGTGGCGGGAGCCTGGGCAACTTGCCAAGAGGCCAGGAGACCGCGGGGTCTGCGTCCCTCACCCCGGGCCCACCCGGCCTCTCCCGGGCTTCCCTGGCAGCCCCGGGCTGGACTCTGGGCCGGGAGCAGGTTCGGAAGCCGCAGCCCCTCCCCCCTCTGCTTTCCCTCCCTCGGGCCCCCTCGACCTAAACAGGACAGCCTGGGCACGGGGGCCACACGCTGATGGAAAAATACACACTTGGCTGGAAAAGGAGCTTTATTTGTGTGTGTTGAATTCCCACAGCAGCCGAAGGATAAATCGCTAGTCCCCAGCCTTTGCTTAGAGACTGCCCACAAGGTGGGTGGTAAAATCTGGTCTTATTTAGATAGCTTTTGGGGAGAGGTGGGGAGAGGGAATGGGGGCAGCAGGAGAGGAGAGCTTGGAATCTGCAATGTTTATATGATCAGTCACGGATGTCATCTCTCCTCTTTAATTAGGGGTTTGTAGCTGGGGAACGGCGCAGCTCGTCCTAGGCGCGGGGCAGACTGCGTAGGCAGGGGCGCAGAACCACTCTTCGGGGCCTAACTGTGCTCGCACCCCTGTGTGTCCATCCCCAGGCCCCAGCTAAGCACCCAGGAATGTCAGCACTGTGCCAGGCCCTGTCCTGGGTGCTGCGTGCATTATCCGAGTCAGTCCTTACAGCCACCGCCTGAGCTAGGTGCTACCGTTATCCCCATTCTGTGGGAGAAACCCAAAGCCCAGGAAGACTGAGTAGCATACTGGGGGCGCAGAGCTGGTAAGCAGCCCTGCAGGGGCTGGTCTGTGGGCTCCTCGACCCCGGTGTCCATGCTTTTAACCCTTTCCCGGCATTCCTGGGGCTGGGGGGGTAAGGACCTGGGCTTTCCTCATTCCCATTTTCTGTCATTTCTGTTCTCTAGCCCAAGTCCTCTGTATTTGCCAAGTCAGAGATGGACAGATGAGTTCTAATCATTTTTGGCTCTGTTTTTCTTACAATTCGAAGTTTCTTGCTGCCCCTAGAGCCCCAGCACTTGGAATCGGAGAATGTTTACACAACGGACACGTTTTCTGATTGGTACAAATGGTATGAATAGAGTCAATCAGGGTAATGGGCTACAGGCTGGGGTGCCCGGGACTTGAGGTGCTCCTTTAGGATGGGCTAGACAAGGACTTTCTGGGGCAGCTCCATTCGAGCCGAGACCATCATGGACGATGTAGAAATCCCCGAAGGAATGAGCTAGGTGTGTTCAGGAGCTTGGAAGTGGCTTGTGTGGCTGGAGTGTGCTGGATGGGGGTAGAGGGTTTGCTGTAAGGATGGATGGAGCAAGCAGGGCTCGATCAGGGTCTTCTGGCCCAGGGAAGGAGACTGGATTTTTTTTTTTTTTTCCTAATTGGAAAAGGAAGCCATTTGGAGGGGTTTTAAGGAGGGAAGTGAAATCTGGCCTTTACATCATCAAAAGATTATTCTTGCTGCCGTGAGAAGCGTGGACTGTGGAGGGTCAAGGCTGGAAGCAAGGCGACGGGGTAAGGCTGCGACTACAGTACAGGGCAGAGGAGATGGCTTCAACTAGTGTTAGAAGAGGAAGTGGCCGGTGGAGCCGCCCAGACCTGGTGAGGGGTCAGTTGTGTTGGAGGTTTGGCCCATACGAGGGGCTCCTTCCCTACAGCTATTCCAAGTCCGTCTTCTCTTTCGTGTCTGGCTTCCGACCCTGCTCCGTCAGCACATGGCATTTCCCTGACCACAGCAACTGGCTTCAGGGTGGTCCAATCACAGGAGCTTGTGCTCCGCGGCCTGCTGGGTTTGAATTACATAGTCCTGACTGCTGCTGGGAGTCACTCTGGACGGGGAGTATGGTTGCTCCGGATGGCAGGTGGAAAGACTGACATCTTGGTATCGCTGGGCCTCTGGACGCACCAAGCCAGATGCTCATCCTACCCCTTCCATTTATCCCATTAGAACTCCCTTGTCGTATTGTCAGCGGTCTGAGTTGGATTTCACTCACAACTGAAGGCATCTCAACTGATACACTGGGTTATCCGGGAAACCCCAAATCTGGCTTAAATATGCATGAGCACAGGACAAAAGACTGGAGTGAAATCATTTCTGGGCCTCAAGAAGAAAACTAATTTTGAGAAATGGGTTCAAGGATCCTGGAGAAGTTGGAAGTTGATCAAGTGGGGGAAACAAAAGAAATTTGTATTTTCAGTTTATGCCATCATGTCGTTACTGGATTATACACATTCACACTTCTTTTGTTTGCCTCGTGTCCAATACCACCCGTGTTCTGCGGCAGGCTGTGTGAGCGAGGATACGAGATAACTGACTCATAGGTGGATGAGTGGAAACTGCCTGTTCAGAGATGTACTGTTTTACGTACCCGGTGCCCAGCCTAGATATACAATCACTGCACTGCGATAAAACTGCTACCCCGGGATACGGACAGGGACATTACAGTCTTTATTTTCCTACCCAGGACTCCTAATATCGACGTTCCTCAGAAAGTCTTTCACTGAGCATGGGCAGCCTCTTTCCACTTCAACGGATTTCTGCTCGAATCTGCTTTCTCTGCCATCTCAACAGAATAATAAAGTCCAAGTAGATCATAAAATCGTGATTATAAAAACCTCAATTGGAGATTCAAATTTGGCACCTGTCAAGAGTAGTACTTGCCATGAAATGAGGCTAGAGATAGAAATTGATTACAAAAATCCCTATTCATGTCTGATTTTTTTCACCATTATATTCTCAAACACTAGCACAATACTTGGTACATAACAAGTAGTCAATAAATATTTATTACCATAGTAATTCTGACCAGCTATGTAAATCACAAAAAGTGAAAACTGAAAAAAAAAAAAAGCACACATTACCTTACTCCCCCATTGGGTTTTTTTTGTTTTGTTTTGTTTTGTTTTTTTTAAGATTTTATTTATTTATTCATGAGAGACACAGGCAGAGGGAGAAGCAGGCTCCATGCAGGGAGCCTGATTCGGGACTCGATCCCAGGACCCCAGGATCACATCCTGAGCTGAAGGCAGGCACTAAACCACTGAGCCACCCAGGCGTCCCCCACATTCTGTTAAAACTTCCGCAAACCTAGAATCCCCAAAAGCCTAGTGGTAACTGAATTGTTTCCAACAGCTATTTTACATCTACGTCAAACATTCAATGTCCCTAGTGATGTTAGTGAGTTGGCAAAATAAAAGACAACAATTCCAAATATTTTAACATTCTTACTATCTAGCTTTCTGGACAGTTTGCTGCCAGACACACATTCAGGATAAACACACACTCAACATTAAGTGGTTATTTATTTTTCAGGTTTAAAAGGTTTCAAAATACGTATGTACAAGCTAAATAAAACAAACTACCCTCCCGAGAGTCAATGTAGAACAGAATACATAAGTACACAAGGTCTGTTTTATAGGATATGAAAAGTGATAATGTCATCAAATACAAAGAAAAATATTCAAGAAAGATAGGCAACTTAGACCATCTCAACAAAGAATATTTTAACTATGACCAGGACAAGCCCCTAAGCATCAGGGCAAAACTTCTTTTCTATGCTTCCCAGGGGCCTGGCTTTCCTTTTCTGTGCTGTGTTGCATACTCCCGAGTCACCAGCCTCTGGCAGATCATCAGGCATCTCCTCCTCATCAGCCTAAAAAGGAGCAGACACGGTAAAATGTAAGGTTCACACTAACACCAGGATGGAGAACAAAGTGCTATAATATTATTTCCAAGTACTTCTTTGTTGCCTGTTGTATAGGATATTCCCTTCAAAAGCATCTTCCTCAATCTATGTTTTAAATTTTTATTTCTTTTCACAAGTAACTGCTACTTAATGCCACCTGAAGGATGTTGTAACTCAGCAAGAACCAGCACATGCGAATCCTTGTCTTCCTAGCATTTGTACTGTTGAATGAGGAAGCTCTGTCCACTTAAACTGGGGAGATTTTCCTTCTCCTTTCTATGAACGATCCCGTAAGATACGTTAGTTTTCCCCTCTCTCCTATAACCTCTCTCATTCCTGATTCCTGCAATAGTCCCTTCTCGGTGTTAAACAAGAAAACTGAGAGACTCGGGGCTACTTCTCAGCTCTCCCTGCTAACCTCAAGAATATAAAAAAAGATTAAGCAGATGATGCCTGCCCTCTAGTGTCGTCAACAGATGACAACTGTTAGGAAATAGCGCCTGCTGGTTGAGCTGCTAGGCTATTTTGTTGGATAACTATTTAGAAAGTTGTCATAGGTGAAAAAGACCAATCAGCTACTCTAGAATACAGTACAAATTTGGCAAAGTTAATAACCACTTACACATGTACAGATAAATACACTTTTAATGGACTAACGACAGTAGCACAATCAGAACTGTACAGTTACCGTACCTCTTGCTTCTGTCTTGCATGCTTCTCTGTCCACTGCCTGGCATTCTTGAGGAAGACTGGCTTATTGTATTTAAATTCGGAGGACTGAGAGGAAATCAAAGAAGAGTCAATGGAGAGAAAAATGATTTGCAGTGGTTACGTTGCAGCTGCCACAGCTACCCTCACAAATGAAAAGTCAGAGGTATGAAGAAAGGAGGACCTGTGCTGCGGAGGAAAAGAGGACACTTACTATGTCTGCCATGAGCGGGTCATCAGGGTTGGGTTCCGACATGAGCAGCTGAATAGAAGTCAACACAGTTGCAATGTTGAGAGATGGTCTCCAGGCGCCCTATACACAGACAGATAAGCAGCTGCTTTTGTATTACTAAGAATGTGATGCTCTAATTCAAGTTTTGTAGATGGGAACCACAGAATGCTGTGTCCACCCTTGACCCTCCGCTCACCTTTGGTGGCAATTTGAGAACATCCAGACAAATCCTCCCGGCAGAATCAATGTTTGGATGATAGATGGGAGTCAGAAATCGGATCTGAGGAGGTTCAAAGGGGTACCTTTGAAAGCATAGGACAATAGGGAATTTCTATTAAAGTATTGCTTCATCACACACATATTACAAACAGCTTCCTGGTGACTAATCAGGAAGACAGCCTTTGAGAGGCAAGCCTATTCTCTCCTCAAATTTTTATTATGAAACTTACAAACAATAGAAAAGTTGAAATAATAGCATTAAAAACACTCCTGTACCCACCACCTAGATCAATCACTTTAACCTCTAAATACTTCAGCACATATCTCCCAAGAGAAAAGTCATTCTTCTACATATCAGCAATATTATCAGTATACCTATGAAAAAATTAAAAATTTATTCCCCAGTATCATTTGCTCTTTAGATTTCATTTGCCCCCACCCATTTTTTTTAGATAGGTTCTGAAAAACAGGATCCAATTAAGATTTATACATTGCATCTGTTGTTTTTTTTTTTAAAGATTCATGAGAGAGAGAGAGAGAGAGAGAGAGAGAGAGAGAGAGAGAGAGAATGCGAGCGAGCGCGCCCATGTGTGCGGGGGAAGGGTAAGAGAGGGAGAATCTTAAGCAGACCCCCCCACCTCCACCCCAATGAGCACAGAGCCCATGTAGGGCTCAATCCCACAACCCTGGGATCATGACCTGGGCCAAAATCAAGTCAGACACTTAACCAACTGAACCACCCTGGTGCCCCCCCCCCAATGCATTCAGTTATTATGCCTTTTTAGTGAGACACAAACCTTGGAAAATTTCCAGCCTATTTTCTGAACTGACATATCACATGATTATTAAGCTACTTTAACAAGTTTGGCCAGCATCTGACCTGGTGAATAGACATCTACATATTGACAGTTACACATTCATTTTTTCCTTTCCCCATTCTGCACAAAACCACAACTACAACTCACCTGATGAGAACTAGAGGAGACCTGAATTAACAGAGACAGAAAGTAGACGGTGGTTGCCAGGTGCTGGGGGAAGGGGAGCAAGTTACTGCTGAATGGGTATGGAGTTTCAGTCTGGGAATATGAAGGTTTTGGGGATGGACTATGGTGACAGGTGCATACAGTACAACTGTACTTAATTCCACTGAACCAAACACTTAAAAAAAATGGTTTAAATGATCAATTTTATGTGTCTCTTAGCAATGAAGAAAAGAGGGGCCTTAGATATGATCTAGTCCATTTTTAGAGATGGAATTTGAACTCCAGAGAGATTAAACTAACTTGCCCAAGGTCACCTTAGATCATGGTAAGACTAGGATTAAAACCTAGGACCTAAAAAAATAAACAAATAAAATAAATAAATAAATAAAACCTAGGACCTTTAACTCCTACATTTAACACTCTACTACATTACTCTATCTTCCAATAATCATACTTTACCCTCTAAGTTTAGAATCTAATTCACACTGGGTGCCTGGGTGGCTCAGTCCATTAAGCGTGCAACTCGATTTCCACTCAGGTCATGACCTGATCAGCTGATCTTGATTTTGGATCAGGGTCGTTGAGATCAAGCCCCACACCGGGTGTAGAGCCTGCTTAAGATTCTCTCTTTTCCCTCTGCCCCTGCCCCACTCTGCATGTGCTCTCTCTCTGAAGCAAAACAAAACAAAAACTAATGCACACTAACCTCTCGGGAATGGTAACTTCCAGCTTGAAAACACCTTTTTCGTAAGGTGTGTCAGCCGCACCTAATATTTCTTAAAAGAAGAAAAGAAGAAATGAAGAGGTAATCGGATGATGTGAACGACCACACCAAACAGTACTAACAAAGTCTGAGGTCCTAAAGAAAAGCTGGGTCCAGGACAAGAAGTCTCTCAGGGCTTTAACAAGCTCGCATGCAATGCACTAATGTACCCCAAAAGCTGACGGTGTCAAACAAAGGACAAGATTAAAACAGAAGTTGGACGATACTGACCACAAGTCAGATATAAGCTGCAGACTTGTTTTGTCTGTACCACAGCATTCTAATTATTTATGTTTCCTGCTGGCCTCACAGTCATTTGAGAGGGTCATCTTTAGTCTGAACACTCCTTCAGAGCTGATGCCCAAAATCTCAGCTACAAATCAACAAAAGGTATAATAAAAGGCCAAAGAAGAAACGTCAAGCAAACCTTTTATACAAGCAAACAAATCAGGTTTAGAAGGACAGTATGGCACTCTGACCTTGCCACCGTTCCCCTACTTTAGAATATACAAAGGTTTACATTTCAGCATATCTTTAATAGGGTGGTCATAGGCACGACATGATACCTACGAGCTCGCAGATCGTCCATTTGGTCGTTATCTTGCCAGCAAGTGATGCCTGGGGGTGGCTCTGTGGCTAACAAGTTCAGCTCTCTCTTTAGACGTGAAGCTCTCTGCATGGTCCCCAAGTAGAAGGAACACACGCAGTTCACTGTACCGCACTAGAAGCTGGTTGGGATTCACTAGGGAGAAAAGGGGCAACCGTGAAATAGGCAGCAATGGTAACTTGAGTTTTTAGCACATGGCTTCAATTTAGTGAAAAACAAAACACATTCTTCATATTAATCCCTATTCTGAGAAAGGAATCTGAGTTTTTCCCATTTCCCTCCTGCTATCTATTCAAGCAAATTTTCAAAATAAAGGGTAAAAAACGCAAAACGTTCTGCGAACAATAAAAACACTACAAGTTTTCAATTAATGTCTGTCTCCGCTGATAAATTACAAACTCACGAAGTGGAGCCGGGCTCTAATTTTGCTCCCCACTGCATCCTCAGTATGCCTGGCATAGAAAGGGCTTCACAGATACTAGCTGTGGAAGGGAGTCTACACATGCTTTGTGAGAAGGGAATGGAAATGATGGAAACAGTCTCACTCGGAGATATTTCTAAGTGAATGCTACATGTCTGAGGTTCTCTCTTCCACATCCTCCCGATTCTTTAGAATTTCCAATCCTTTCCCCACCAACATTCAAATATGCTCAAAATCTCTCTCATCTAAAACACCCACACCGACGCACACTCAACACCCTTCATAATTCTAGTTCTCCCTCTAGCTGCTGCTCAAAGGACACTGATCTTTTTTTTTTTTTTTTGAATTTTATTTATTTATTCCTGAGAGTCAGAGAGGCAGAGACACAGGCAGAGGGAGAAGCAGGCTCCATGCAGAGAGCCCGACGTGGGATTCGATCCTGGGACCCCAGGGTCACGCCCTGGGCCAAAGGCAGGTGCTAAACCCACTGAGCCACCTAGGCGCCCCGACACCGATCTTTTGATATTGAGTCACATATACTACCTCCCAGTCTGTGGCTTTGTCTTTCCACTTTATTCGTGTCTTTTGACAGACACACAACTATTAACTTTAACATGATCTTAAAATCTTTTCCTTTACACTTACGTTTTTATGTATTAGTTTTCCTTACCCCCAAACTTAGGTATTTGCCTACATCTTCTAAATGTCTTACATAAGTCTTTAATGTAGTAGGAACTGATTTTTGTGCGTAGTGTGAGGCAGAGGTCAAATCTGGATCTTTTTCTCCACATGAATAAGCGACTCTCCTGAGTCCTTTTTATTGGAAGGGCCATCCTTTCCCCACTGATTCGGTCAAGAACTAAAATTTGCATATATGTGTGTGTGGATCTGTTTCGGGATTCTTCCATTTGTTCCACTGCCCACAACTGGATTATCTATGAGCCAATACCTCACTGTTTGAATTAACTGTAGCTTATTAATAAGCCTTGATATCTATATCAATTATTGACATATATCAATAAGACTTGATATATAGTAACGGGAGTTCCTCCACCTTATTCTTTTTCTTCCGAATGTCTTGGTTATTCTTGATCCTCTGCTCTTCTGCGTATGTTTTAGAATCACCCCCTAAAATACATACATACATCTCGGGATCTGGTTCTCAGTTTTGTGAACTTAAATTCAACTTGGCAGGAAGCGCAGACTCGGTGGGGCTTAGATGTGCTGATTTATTCCAGGCTCGTTCACAAGGACTTAAACATTAAAAGGCCGAGTTATTAACTTGTACAACTACAGTAAAATTTTTAATTTTAATCCCATACATTCCCTGTTTAGCTATTTCTACCTGGGACGCCTGGTGTGTGTATGTGTGTGTGTGTGGGGGGGGGGCTCAGGGGTTGAGCACCTGCCTGCAGCCCAGGGCGTGACCCCGGGGTCCTGAGCTCGAGTCCCGCATCCATCCACTCCCTGCAGGGAGCCTGCTTCTCCCTCTGCCTGTGTCTCTGCCCCTCTCTCTCTCTCTCTCTCTCTGTGTGTCTCATGAATAAAAAAAATAAATAAATTGGGATCCCTGGGTGGCGCAGCGGTTTGGCGCCTGCCTGTGGCCCAGGGCGTGATCCTGGAGACCCGGGATCGAATCCCACGTCGGGTTCCCGGTGCACGGAGCCTGCTTCTCCCTCTGCCTGTGTCTCTGCCTCTCTCTCTCTCTCACTGTGACTATCATAAATAAATAAAAATTCTTAAAAAAATAATAAATAAATAAATAAATAAAATCTTTTAAAAACAGCGCACTGCGAAAGAGACTCAGACTGTAGCAATCTTTCAAGTCCGTCCAGATTCCCTAGACGTGGGCCCATACGACCGCCGGTCTTGGAGGCCAGCGCTTCCCTGGATAAGCAGCCTCGAGGTGCACGCATGCGCACTGCCTGCTCTTCTGGGTCGGCGGATCCTGAGAAAGCGACCACAGGCAGGGGAGGGGGGGGCGGGGGGGCAGGCCCAGGTCTCCCGCCAACACGGCCGGCGGGGGGCGCTCGCGGGCGGGCCTCTGCGCGGTCCAGCCCCAGCCTGCGCCCGGGAAGCCCCCCCGCCCCCCGCACCCGCGCGGTCTCTCCCCCTTCCCCCCTGCAGACGCCGCGGGCTGCCCCTCCCCCCCGGGGACGCTGCCCAACCCTCAGCCCCGGGGGTGCTTTTTTTCCCTCTTTTTAAAGATTCTATTCATTCACTTGCAAGAGACGCAGGCCGGGACGGGGGGGGGGCAGGCTCCCCGCGGGGGCCCGACGCGGGGCTCGACCCCGCGACCCCGGGTCACGCCCGAGGCCGACGCGCCCGCGGAGCCCCGCCCCTCCCCCCCGGTCCCCTCCGGTCCCCTCCGGTCCCGGGCACCCGGAGCTGATAATCCCCGCCGGCGGCTCCTCCGCGCGCGGCTAAAGGCCCCGGGGCGGCGCACGCTTTACCTCCCTCCCGTCTCCACCTCGGGATGGACGGCGCCCGCCGCCGACCCCACAGCTTCCGCTCACCTGCGCGCCCCGCCTCCCGCCTCCCGACGCACCGCGCGCGCCACGGCGGTTGGCGTCGCCCCGCCCCCCGGGGACCCCTGGGGGCTTCCGATTGGCCGCGGCGAGCCCCGGGGGCGGGGCGGCGCCCCCCATTGGCCAGCGCTCGGGGCGGGCTTCCGCTCCCGCCACTTTCAAATCGGAGCGCGCGTCGCCGTGCGCCAGTCCGCGGAGCTGCGGGTGCGGCGCGGGCCGCGGGAGGAGCAGGGACGGGACCGGGACTCCGCAGCAGAACCCCTTGGAGCAGAACAGGCCGATGGGCCGCTCCGCGGGCTCCTCCCGACCCGGGTGCGCGGCCTGGAGATGGAAGCGCCGGGTGACGCCAGGCCCGCCTGGACTTGTCGGTCCCGGCTCCGTGAGCGCCCGAGGGGGGCCCGGCCTGAATCGAGAGGTCATCTGGAGGTCGCCTGGAGGTCGCCTGGCCTTGGGGGTCACTGGGCGCCCCCCACCCTCAGCTCGCTGCTCTCCGCTCCCTGTGTGGCTTCGGAGCCCCGGTGACCTGGAGCAACGGCCGGGGCGCCTGACCGTGCGGACCAGGGTGACTGCGGCCCCTGCCCTGGGTTCTGCATGTGGCCCGCAGCACCAGGCCCGAGCCCGAGCCCGAGCCCGGCGCAGGTGCGGGACCTCACCTGCGAGACCCACGCGTTGACCGGCTCCGCGTCCACGCCCCCACCTCGGCGGCCGCACGTTGGCTGTAAGAACGACTCCACTAAGGGAGCTTGTGCGTTGCAGACCAGAGGAATCCGGGGACCGTCCCATCCAACCTGCAGTTAGCTGCTGGGGCTTGGCGTTTCCTGCTCGTATTTACTCGCCCTCGAGTGTCTTCTGTTGTAAATCAGGAGCCGGCCGCTCGTTTTACTACTTTGTTTTTACCCCTTCGACGCCTCCTTTATTTTCTTGCTTACCCCCAAGTGCAGTTGGTCGTATTTTGATTCCAGTTCTGGTGGCTCTCCGAGAACGAGCCTTTAAAATGTCTCTTGGAAAAGAGCCGCAGCTGTGCTGAGTCTGGTGGAAAGGCGAGATGGTATCATAAAACAAGCAAATGCCGGTAATTTTGGCAGCCAGACAAAGGATCGAATAAAAGAAGAAAAGGTTGGGCAGCCCCCGAGGCTCAGCGGTTTAGCGCCGCCTGCAGCCCGGGGTGTGATCCTGGAGTCCCGGGATCGAGTCCCACGTCGGGCTCCCTGCGTGGAGCCTGCTTCTCCCTCTGCCTGTGTCTCTGCCTCTCTCTCTCTGTGTCTCTCTCTCTCTCTCTCTCTCTCTCTCTCTCTCTCTCTCTGTCTCTCTGTGTGTGTCTCTCATGAATAAATAAAGAAAATATTAAAAAAAAAAAAAGAAAAGGTAAAAAACTCACGGGCTAAACGTGCAGGTTCCGTTTGACCACCAGAGGGAGGTCTGTTAACTGGCGAGAATAGAGGGCAGGCTGAAAAGCTTTCGTTACCCATGTTGCAGGTGTCCTTGCTTTTAAAAAGGGACCATTCTAATATTGCGATTTATTTCTCAAGTGTATGTGTGGGGAAATACTTAACAAAAGTTTCCTTACACAAGAATCTATATGCATCATGCCTGGCTCACTTAGTGCCTTGAAAAGCACAAAAATTATATTTTATTTATATATAGGATTGTCAGGATTTACTCATTTGGGTATAGAAGACTTTAGTATAGACTATTTGTTTAGTAAACCTAAACTATCTTGTTTGTTTAATGGGCTGATTATATAAAGTTTACTCTCAGAAAGTCCTGTTTTAGGGAAGATACTTCTGAGAAAAACTGCGACTTTAATTTTGAAAAACATTTTGAGCCATTATACACAATTTTATTTTTTTCGTGGCATAACATTTTTTTGGTTGAGCCAGTTAGATTACTCATTTTTTTGGTTGAGCCAGTTATAATTATTACTGCTTTTTGTAATCACATAGCTGAAGATACATTCCTCTCCTTTCAGGTAGGTATGTACTTAAATTACCCAAGGAACCTAGGACAGTCTCCAAAAAGGGTTATAGGGCAGCCCCGGTGGCGCAGCGGTTTGGCGCCGCCTGCAGCCCAGGGTGTGATCCTGGAGACCCGGGATCGAGTCCCACATCAGGCTCCCCTCTCCCTCTGCCTGTGTCTCTGCCTCTCTCTCTGTGTCTATGAGTAAATAAATAAAATCTTTAAAAAAACAAAAGGGTATTATACTCTAACAACCTCAGAGGAGAAAAAAAGCAAATAAATTAGATATAGTAAGGAAGTGTTTCCTGGAATTCCTAGTACAGAGGCTGAATTCTCCCTATTTAAATTTATCTCGAGAATGGAAGGATTTAACTTGGACTTGGCCAATGTTAGCTTATTTATACAATTGTAGCCAGATAGTTCTTCCCTGATTCTGAATGTGAAAATAATACAGCCAAAAGAAATGTAACATTATTGATCTCCTTGATCAAGGAGATTGAAATTTTTACTCCAGTTAAAACATTATTAGAGGGACGCCTGGGTGGCTCAGTGGTTGAGCCTCTGCCTTTGGCTCAGGGCGTGATCTCGGATCTGGGGATCGAGTCCCACATGCTTTCTGCATGGAGCCTGCTTCTCCCTCTGCCTGTGTCTTTGCCTCTCTCTGTGTGTCTCTCATGAATAAATAAGTAAAATCTTTAAGAGAAAAATTCGAGTCTAATTTTGGGGATAGAGATTACTAAAACACATTTAAAAAATTCTTATTAGAAAACCATTGTCAGTAAAATATACAGTTCAATTATACATACTTTATTTTCTTGAGAGCTACTGTTTCAGAAATGTAATATTAAAATGGTAAATGTGGATTGCTGTCAGAGATGTGCTTCCTGAGATTTCAGCAGTTTGTTTATGCCAAAACCTTGCCGCTCTTCACTTTTTTTGTCTACCATCTAGATTGGCAATGTTTAGCTGATGATGGTTTCTTGAAGACGGTTAAGCTTATAGCTAGGTATTCTTTCCTGTCTGATATAATATCAGTGTTTCTTTTATCCTATAGAGAGAGTTCTATTTGAGAGCTTGTGGGCAATTTTATCAGCAAGAGGCTGAGTTGGAATAGAAGAGTTTCCATCTTGACAAGTTACAAAGTAAATCTCATACAGAATTTTTGATTGCAATAGGGGTGACAGGTTCTATAGTGACTAAATCATTGCACAATAGCAAGGAAAATGAAACTATATAAGGTATATTTTGTTGCATCTTGATTCTTCCCCCCCCCCCCTTTTTTGAGGAAGAAGAAGTAGAGGGTGAGGGGCAGAAGGAGAGGGAGAGAGAGAATCTTGAACAGGCTCCACATGGAGTGCAAAGCCCAACGAGGGGCTGGATCTCACAAGCCTGAGATCATAACCTGAGCTGAAATCAAGAGTCAGACACTTAACTGAGTAAGCCACCCAGGTGCCCCCCCATCTTGATTATTTTATTGCACATTGTTTTTCATTGTTCACAAAGATGCTGTAGTAAGAAAATTAGTATTTACAAAGTATTTAAGAATACTAAAAGCATATTGTGAATGGACATCATATTCTTAAACATAATACTTTGCATTTGCATATTGTTTTCCATTTAATTCTCAGTTCATCTAGGGGAAGTTGAGTCACCCCACGGATGTTCACAATGGAATATAATAAAGTTTCCCTTTACAATGTCCTCATCACTTTTGTAACGTTTTTTAATGAAACATTTTAAGCATTAGACTATTTGAAAACTTAGAGAACCTAATAATTGTATATGTTCCCTTTCACTATGGACAGCACATGTAATTATATTATGTCCAGGGCTAAAGCTGTGGTGGGGGGCAGGGAGGGGTCTAAGGTATCAAATCAATCATACAGATTTTATAATCAAGTTCACTTTAAATATGAAAATGTCCTGTTCGTTGCCTTAGGAGTTTAGTTCGCCCCATAATTGTCTTGGCGGAAGTCACGAAAGATAAGGCCTCCATCCACTCTCTCCTAAGCATTTAAGACCCGTGAAAAGGGTAGTAGTGAAGGAGGATCCGGGAGAAAGAAGAGAAATCAATATTTATCACGAGCTGATCGTGTGCCAAGTATAGTACTAGGTGGCCTTGCACGTAGTCTTGACTCCAAGGACTATTCTGTGAAGTATTCCTATTCCCACCTTACAAATAAGGAAAGAGGCTCGGGGAAACCAAGCAACTTGTTGAGGGATGTGAATTCACTTTGAAATGAGGCCTTACGCTCGTTCCACCTCTAGCGGATCGGATGGATCGGATGCATCCTTCCCTGGATCCTCTTAGGGCCTAAAATATACCTGTCTGGTTGAAAGGATGTACGCGTCACAGGTGACGCTGTATGTGTCCGTGCTCCTCCTCCCCGTGCACATTTATTTACGTTCACTGTGATTAATACACATCACTGTATTACGTGTTATAACGTGAAAGAAGCTCTAGATTTAGAACCAGGGCATAGATTTGAGTGTTTCGAGTACTTTCTAGTTTTCACCAACAGGAAGTCGAGATAATCTCTCCTGCTTCTCCACTTCGAAGCCCTGATGTGCTCTTTAGGGAGCCCGGATTAGGCGGCCCCCGCCACAGGAATAAACTACGATTCCCGACATGCTTGACGAGGCGGACGCCGGCCCGGGACCCAGTTCCAGCTTTAGGGCAAAGGTGACCCCTCTGGGGCCCGCGGCCAAGTAGGGGGCAGCCGGTCCTCGCCTCCTCCCTGGTGCATCCAGGGATTTGTAGTTCCCTCAAGGCCCGGGGGGGGGGGGCTGGTGCCCTTGGGGTCCGCGTCTCACTACAAGTCCCGTGATGACCCGGGGCTCGGGCAGCGCCTGCGTGTTGAGGCCGGGGGCGCGTGCGGGCGGTGCTCCTGGCGGGAGGAGTAAAGATGGCGGCGCGGGGGTCTCCGCCTTCTGCTCCCGGCTGAGGCGCGCCGCGGGAGCCGCGCTCGCAGTCCCGGGGGGGTGGTTCGAGCCGCAGCCGCGGAGGCCGGAGCCATGGCGGAGCTGGAGCACCTGGGCGGGAAGCGGGCCGAGTCGGCGCGAATGCGGCGGGCCGAGCAGCTTCGGCGCTGGCGGGGCTCGCTGACGGAGCAGGAGCCCGCGGAGCGGCGAGGCGCGGGGCGGCAGCCGCAGCCGCGTCGCGGGAGCCCCAGGGTCCGCTTCGAGGACGGAGCCGTCTTCCTGGCCGCCTGCTCCAGCGGGGACACCGACGAGGTGAAGAAGCTGCTGGCCCGGGGCGCCGACATCAACACGGTCAACGTGGACGGCTTGACAGCCCTCCACCAGGTGAGCCCGCCTGCGGGGAGCCGCGACCCTGCCGCCGCCCAGCACGGGCGCCCGGGTCTCCACTGCGGCCACCCGGGCACCCGGGTCTCTACTGCGGCCACCCGGGCACCCGGGTCTCTACCTGCGGCCATCTGGGCACACGGGTCTCTACCTGCGGCCACCCGGGCACACGGGTCTCTACTGCGGCCACCTGGGCACACGGGTCTCTACTGCGGCCACCTGGGCACCCGGGTCTCTACTGCGGCCACCCGGGCACCCGGGTCTCCACCTGCGGCCACCCGGGCACACGGGTCTCTACTGCGGGCCACCCGGGCGCCCGGGTCTCTACCTGCGGCCACCCGGGCACCCGGGTCTCTACCTGCGGCCACCCGGGCACCCGGGTCTCTACCTGCGGCCACCCGGGCACACGGGTCTCTACTGCGGCCACCTGGGCACACGGGTCTCTACTGCGGCCACCTGGGCACCCGGGTCTCTACTGCGGCCACCCGGGCGCCCGGGTCTCTATCTGCGGCCACCTGAGCACCCGGGTCTCTACTGCGGGCCACCCGGGCGCCCGGGTCTCTACTGCGGCCACCCGGGCGCCCGGGTCTCTATCTGCGGCCACCTGAGCACCCGGGTCTCTACTGCCGGCCACCCGAGGACCCGGGTCTCTGCTGCGGCCGCCCGGCGCCCGGGTCGGCGTGGTTCTCGGCCGCTTCCCCCGCGAAGCCAGGTCCTTCCGACCTCGGGGTCTCTACCAGCGGGATAGAGCCCCCCCCCCCCCACCTGCTCGAGTCGTGGTCCCCGCCGACCCGCCCCGGCCGCACGGCCCCGCACGTAGCCCGGCCAGGGGCGTTCGTCCGGCGCGTCCGGGAGAATCCGCGTGTGGGGGCGCGACCCCGTGGGGCGGCGGGCGGCGCGGGGGGACGCAGACCTGTGCGGGCTTGCAGGACTCGGACCCCCCGCCCCGTGAGGCCGCCGCTCCCGCCCCGCCCCGGCCCGGCCCGGCCCGGCCGGACGCTCGCTCGGTGCTTGGGGGATGCTCGGCTCTGCTCTTCTCTGCACGCTGGTTTTTCTTTTCTTCCTTTCCTTTTCCTTTCCCTTTCCCTTTTTTCTTTTTCTTTCTTTTCTTTTCTTTTCTTTTCTTTTCTTTTCTTTTCTTTTCTTTTCTTCTTAAATAGAACTCAGATGCCGTGGGTGGCTGTGTAGCGTGGGTGGCGGTCGCCCAACAGCGCGGGGCGCAGTGGTGACACTTTCCCTCCCCGCGCAGCGCTCAGACGCACCTGCGGCCTCCGAGCCGCCCCCCCAGGTGGGACTTCACGCACCTGGGGAGCTGGGGGCCGCACACCCGCCTGATCTTTCCCACTTGTCTTTTTCTGCTTTGTGTACAAAGTGAGCGTGTTGGCGTGAGAAATCAATTTTTAGAAAATATTTTCTTTATTCATGAGACCCACATAGAGAGAGAGGCAGAGGGAGAAGCAGGCTCCCTGCGGAGAGCCCGGCCTGGGACTCGATCCTGGGACCCGGGGTCACGCCCTGGGCCGCAGGCAGACGCTCCACCGCGGAGCTGCCCGAGAATCCACTTCTTAGTAACAATTCAATTCTGTGCCATAGCACTTCCCTGAATGCATTAGGTAGTCTAGAATCATTCCTCACCATGTCTTCTCGTCATGCTCTCTGTATCTGGGGTTGGTTGGTTTGGTTTTGGGTTTTTTGTTTGTTTTCTTACGGCTTATAATAGTGCCCCACCTAAGGTAGCAACCAACATTTGTATGGTCCTTCGCTGTTTAAAAATTCCTACGTATGTCTTCCCCTGTGTGAATTGCCGTACTGATTCTTGAAGTTGGGGTGGCAAGCAGTGTTGTAATTCCCATTTTACAGATGAGGAATCTGAAGCTCAGAAAATGGTTACTTGAGCAAGATGACAAAGGAGACAAGTTGCCCTTAGGCATGGATTTTTCAGACTTAAATTCCAGAGCTTTATGTCTTACCTAATCAGCTGCATATAAATAAGATAGATGCTAAGAGGGCCGTATTCATTATTTTTAGTTTCTGAACTGTTTGAAAAGGTGAATATTTATTTTTCAAATATATTTGGGATGTTAAGGAGATTGAGATCTAGATTGTGCAAGGAACCATTTCTTGGGCTCATAGATCATAGGGAAATAGAATCCAGCTTTCTGATCCACATGCTCCTTTACTGAACCTCTGTTCTATCAAAGCACAGTTTTCTTTTCTTTTCTTTTTTCTTTTTTTTTAAGATTTTATTTATTCATGAGAGACACAGAGAGAGACAGAGACACAGGCAGAGGGAGAAGCAGGCTCCATGCAGGGAACCCTATGCGGGACTCGATCCTGGGTCTCCAGGATCACACCCTGGGCCCAAGGCAGCGCCAAACCACTAGGCCACCTGGGCTGCACAAAGCACAGTTTTCTTAGTGCAACTCAGTAGCCCTGTTTCTTCTAAGGTGACTCTGCTACTTGAATCTGGTCCTTACCACGCACATTTTAATAATGCCCTGAGAAAAGCACCTGCTTTGAGGTTACTCTGGTATATCTCCTTCTCATACAAGGTAACCACTTTTCTGATTCCTTCTGAGACTGACCTTGGTGCCTTTCCTTCTGTCTTACCTACCATCCCAGATTGTGCAGTACAACTGCTCTCAATATGCTCTTCACATTCAGTAATCTCTTGAAATAGGAGAGGAAGGAGATGACAGCTAGGAGGTTGTGTTTTTTTTTTTTTTTTTTTTTTTGCTTTGTTTTTGTTCTTTAAAAAACGCAAAACACCTGAATATGCAATATAGGCATTTGTCTCTGTTTATAGGCCTGGCAGTGAATTGAATTGAATAGGTATACTCAGTACTAGACAAATTCAGCTGAAGATTAAGCTGCTCAAAGATAGAGGCCAAACAGACCTTCTGTTGAGAAACCATCTCTTTGTTTGAATCAAGACAAGAGGCCTTTATTGGCTCAGGAACTCTTTTCCAAGTCAGTTTGTGGAGTGACAGTATGTTTCTCCATGCTCTGAAGAACTCTTTTAAGGTACATAAAAGGTTACATTCAAAATGTGGGACTGGGGCAGCCCGGGTGGCTCAGCGGTTTAGTGCCGCCTTCAGCCCAGGGTGTGATCCTGGAGCCCCGGGATCGAGTCCCACATCAGGTTCCCTGCGTGGAGCCTGCTTCTCCCTCTGCCTGTGTCTCTGCCTCTCTTTCTCTCTCTGAGTCTCAAATGAATAAATAAATAAAATCTTAAAAACAAAATATGGGGCTGGAGCTGCCAGCAGCCAAACAACTTACTTTGTGATTGATTGTCCTTCTGTGAAATGGAAAGTGGTACAATTATCTGAATTATTTAGTTAAAATATCCACGTTATATAAGCGATATGGTGCTCGCTTTGGCAGTACATATAACTATATAAGCACGATATGAATTATCAGGATAATTGCTTTCTTTCTCCCTTTTGGCCTCTGGACCAACTGTGAATTACCATCTTGGCATGTTGGAAGAAACCCCCAGATGTTATTGGTGGTTGATTTCTCTCCTCCTCCAACAAGGTCACAGTAAATGATTTACACTTCAGGTTGTGGTGCCTTGATGCTACTTTTGACTTAGAGACCTTTCTTTCCTGGCAGCCTTTGCTTAGGCCACGAGGTGCTTAAGTCAATGATAAGCTCTAGGGGGCCTATTAATAATACTTGAAATAGACCGAGGTAAGAAATACCTCAAAAGGTTAGAACTTCTCTGATGAAAGCCTTAGATACTGATGCAGACTAACTAAACTTGGGTGATTAAATTGTGTTTGCCCTTAGTATCCTAGAGTCATCAATGAAGAAGACATTAATCTAATTATATAACCCTTGAAATCACTTGTTTGCTCACAAATTCTCATTTCATTTTATATATATATATATATGTATACACACACACACACATATGCCATAAGTCATGAAGTATGGGTTGATAATTTTGTGTGAGGTGATACTTCTTGAAATTTCTTCTATTTTTCTTTATTTATTTTGCAAGATTGTTATCACCTATCTTGGTGTCATTAGTATTACAATCTTGGGTGCTGTAGGGGTAGATACAGGCTCTTAAAACTGTGTCTACCAAATTGTTGGGCTGCTGCAAGAAGCAGGTGCTTGCTTTCAGAAAGGAGATTTTTCTGGGATTTGTTAGAATGAGTACCTGCCTATTTCTTCAAATTATATTTTATTGACACTTGTAACTTTTTTAGGTGTAGTGAATACTAATGTCTGTCCACATAGAGACCAGAATGATTCTATACTTGACTCAGAAACTCAGGTCGGTTTTGTAATAGTCTCAGAGTCCAAGTTTGGACTTCAGGGACACCCCAGACTGGAATTCAACTCCTAGGATTTTCTGTTATTCTAGAGCTGCCTCAATCTGACCCTACAGCTTCAGGGAGATTGAAATTATCTATTTCTCTGGAAGAAAGGTGCAGACAGAAACAGATGAGGGAAGGAGGAAAGGCAGAGCAATTTATATTCAGAGCAAGACAGAAGGAGCCTGTCCTTCTGATAACAGGATGATAACGTGTTCAGTTCAGTACAAAATAGTACGTATGTGTGTGGTATGGTATGGTGAAATAAAACTTGTATTCTTTCTATTTTTTTTTTTTATAATCTCCATGCCCAGTGTGGGCCTTGAACCCACAACCCTGAGATCGAGTCACATGCTTTGTCGACTGAGCCAGCCAGCTGCCCCTAAAACTTGTACTCTTAACCCTTTCTCTTTTATTCCAAGTTCATTACGTATTCCTCTTATAGTTCCACCTATGAAATGACTTAGCCTTGCCCTGCACATATTGATGAATTCTGCTAGTGTCAGGACCCAAGGCAATATGGGATTAAGAAAATCCTTTTGGCTTCCTCATTATTGTGGATCTAGAACAGTCATCCTGGGATCCCTGGGTGGCGCAGCGGTTTGGCGCCTGCCTTTGGCCCAGGGCGCGATCCTGGAGACCCGGGATCGAATCCCACGTCGGGCTCTCGGTGCA